AGCCCCATCCACCGGCAGCCCCCTCCGCCAGGAGCCCCTTTGCCAGGAGCCCCTTTGCCAGGAGCCCCCTTCGCCGGGAGCACCTCCAGCAGCAGCCCCCTTCACCGGGAGCCCCTCCGCTGGGAGCCCCCTCCGGCGGGAGCCCCCTCCGCCGGGAGCGCCTTTCCCAGGAGCGCCCTCCGCCGGGAAGCACTCCACGGGGCCGGGGAGCGCAGCCCCTCCGCCGGCAGCCCCTCCTCCAGGAACCCCCTCCGCCGGCAGCGCGTCCGTGGGGCAGGGCCGGGGCTGAGCCCGCACCGGGAACTGCGCCGCCGTGTGCGCGTCTGGAACTCCCCCCGCGCCGCCCCCTCCGCGCTCTTCCCCGGCCCCGCTGCCAGCAGCGGGGGAGGCAGCTGTGCGGGCAGGGCGAGGGAGGGGAGGAAGGGGCAGGAGGGAGGAGGGAAAAGGGAAGGCGGAGACGGGGCCAGCCCGAGGAAATCAAGCGGCCCCGACATGAATTAGGCAGCGGCTGCAGAGGGGAGGGCCCCCTCCCCCGCTCGCTCGCTGGTCCCGCACGGCGCCGGCAGGAGCAGCGCCGCCCCGCTCGGAGCGGCGGCTCGGGGCGCGCACGCACGCACGGACCGGCGGCGGCCGGCGGGAGGGCGGGGGGGCCGGCAGATGAAGATGGCAATGTCTGTGATCCAAGCGTGCCGCAGCCTGGCGCTCTCAACATGGCTGCTGTCCTTTTGTTTCGTGCATCTGCTGTGCCTGGACTTCACCGTGGCCGAGAAGGAGGAGTGGTACACGGCCTTCGTCAACATCACCTACGCCGACCCGGCAGCTGGCAGCGCCGAGCTCCGCAGCGAGAAGAGCGAGTGCGGGCGCTACGGCGAGCAGTCGCCCAAGCAGGACGCCCGCGGGCAGGTGGCCCTCTCTGCCTCGCCCGCCGACCGCTACGCCTGCGACCCCGGCACCCGCTTCAACGCCCCGGCACCGGGCAAGAGCTGGGTGGCCCTGATCCCGCGGGGAAACTGCACCTACAAGGACAAGATCCGCCACGCCGCCGCCCAGAACGCCTCCGCCGTCGTCATCTATAACGTGGGCTCCAGCAACGCCAACGAGACCATCACAATGCCCCACGCAGGTGAGCCGCGCCGCCCCCAGGGGTGTGCTGAGGGGGCAGATGGATGGGCCCCCTTTTCCAGCCCGCTCTGCCCTTCCGCATCCTTGAAGTGGGAGCTACTGCGGGAAGGTGTCCTGGCACCTCCTGATAGGGAGCAGGATGGGCTGTGGGCGTCGCTGGGTGATGGGTGCCCATCGTGGGGTCCGTGGAGCTCCTCTCCATGCTGCCACGGCAAAGGATGGATGTGCTGCTATCATATCCATAGCAATGCACGCCGGTGCTCCAGGGATGAAAAGTTTGAAACGTGTAAAGTTTGGCTCTAGTCAGAGGAATGGGACGCTGATCGCACTGTGGGGCACCGGTGTTTCGTTGTGTCCTGAGGGTCCTCTGGCAGGTGCCGTGGTGGGATCGAGTGTGACTGAGAGCTTCGGAAGAGGAGAACTTGCAGTGTTGTGGTGCAGGCTTATCAGGAGGTGCAATAAAGTAGAGAACACGGTGTCCACAGTCTTGGCTGCAATGGTGTAAAAGCTGTGAGATCGAGTAGGAACGCAATGTATCTGATTTGGTGAGAACATGAGATCTGTTATGCAGGACTGGGATGGGGGGAGTGTTTCACTCTCCCAGGTGAATGTTCTGGTGGAGTTTGTGCTTGCAGTGTCAGCACATGGGTGGTCCTGTCCCAACATGTGATTGTCAACTAGAACCCAGTCAAAATCCAGTCATTCAAAATAACCTAAACACTGGCTTATGCCCACAAAAAAAAAAAAAAAAAAACCACTGTATCTGTGCCAGTGCTTGATCTGAAATAATGTCTTAAAAAGAGTTCACCAGATTTATATTTAGGGACAATGTTTTGTGCCAGGGGTCACTTGTCTTTTATACCAGCTGCCTATGCCATGGAGATAAGATGCCACCTATTGTGAAATTTCAGTTTGGTTTCCATCCAGTAACTAATCATGCCCAGCTGTTTTATGCCTGTTGAATCTTAGTAGAACTGGGGTAAATTGAAACACAGAAATGCTGCAAAACAGGATGTTATTCTAATCACATGTTACATTTCCACAGTAAACTAGCTAGGTTGGATGTGCTGAACAGCAATTTGTTGCCTAACCATAGTGCTAAAATACTGCTGATGCAAAAATACTGATCTCAGAACCTCTTGTGTCCAGCCTGTTTCAGATCATTTGTGTTGGGCAAATTAGTGTTTCTTTGGTAGGTTTGGTGGAAGATGGAGCTTTTCTTTGGCGTTTTCCTTTGGTTTTGTGAGATAAGCAACCCGTAACCTCTTGAGCTTCCTAAAATTATGTTTTATAACCTGCCCATGGTTTAGCAGCTGTTCAGATTATACTTCTTGCTACTTTAAGTATCACAGATTATATACTAAGAAGTATAAAGTATTAGGAGCTTGGCATACTTATGCATCCTCAAAATAAAGCTCAAGCTGTTTTAAAACTTAAGATGCAGCATAGTTTATTCTTCTCTAGTAAGTTTCTCTAAAACTGCCAACATGTTGGATTAATTGTTTGCCTGTTTTTAAAGAATGCACTGAGTTGTTTTCCCACACAAATGGTGTTTTATTAAGAAAGGGTGGGAGTAAAAAAATGTGTCTAACCTTTTAAAATGTTAGAGCTTTGGTTTGTTTTAAAGTCTAAAATTAAGTAGGGAAGGATACTTTCTTACTGCAAGTGGCCTCAGATTTAACAAATATGAACATACTATCAATTATCCTGGTAGCAGCTTCTTCTGTGTCATATGATTCCACAGGATTTGTTCTGAGAATCCTTTCTGAGTACTGAATTGATACCCAGCAGTGGGTTTGTACACCACCAGTGGCTGAAAGGAAAATAAACTTTCAGAAATTAATCTGGCCTTGTGGAATATGATCAGTGAGACTGAAGGACTTTGCTCCTAGATTTGATGAAGTTATCTTCATTCTAAGGATTTTTGTTCAGTGAAGTTGAATAACAGTTTGTGGGCTTGCCTTAGAGAAAACCTATCCTCTCACATGGTCAAAACTGAGAGGAGTTTTAGACCACAAGTAAGTTTTTCTTCTGATGAAATAGAAGAAAAACATAATAATTCTTAGATATTTAGCAATCTAGGAGGGATTCAGAACTTTACTCCCCCTCTGGTATTGCTGTTACTCTGGGACAAAGTGAATAGTCAGGCTGTGTAAAACTGTGGCTGCAAGTTTCTAACTTGGAGCCTTGACATTTGCTTGTTCCCAGTCTAAATGATAGCATAAGATTCAAGGGAAAAATGAATCAGTTTCTTGGTTTCTGAGTTCAGTAGCATCTGCAGTGCTCTGCCCACGCAAAATCCTGGAGTGAGGAAAAGAAAATTCCATCCTGGAAAATACTTGGAGGTTGATAGGGGAGGGTGAAATATGACCTAAAAAGCAATTTTATAGTCAAAAGAAATATGATTTTACTCCCTTATTATTTCCTATTTCCCTCCCACAGATTTTTTTGAGGTTTCATAGAAGCTTAAACAAACTCTTCCTATACAGAAAAGTGTATCCGGCTGCATAACAATGTGGCTTCTGCCCTTACTAAATAACTTTTACTCTTAATAGTACCCCTAAGAGTTTTTTTCCCTTACATACATTCTTGTCTTCTGTATGCTTTGCCTTCTTTCTCTTATTGTCACTTTCCCTATTTGTGCTTCTTTTTCTGCTCCTCTCAGCCTTGTTGCTTCATCTCTCCCCCTGGGCTTCCTTCCCTGCCTTAACCACTTTACTTTGCCTTTTCGTAGTGCTTTGCCCTTGCCACTTTCTTCCCAAGGCACTCTTTCTCTTGCCAAAGAACTTACCTCATGGCTCTATGTTTAATTATATTTCCTGTTTTCTGCTACAGCACATGCCAGTGTCCCATTGCTCATGTAGTTCCTCCTGATTTTGAAATCTATAGCCAACTGTTGTAAGATACTGTGTGTGAAGTTGAATGAAGGTAGACTTCCCTCCCACTACCCCCAAATCAAAACAAGGGTAGTATTATATCAAAGCTTGTTGCAGAAATCTTAAAATATGGCTCTCCAGGTTTTATTTATAGAGCATACAGCACGAAGTGTGCAACTTGAACCGGCTCCGTCACCCCGTGGAAAGACTTTGCTTTCAGGGAGCTTGTACTGAGGTCAGTGCTTGCACACCCAGAAGGATGAGGTGGAGTTATGACATCTACATTCACAGAAAACGTGCAGCTCTGGGATTCTCCTGCTAGGATGTCCTTAGCTTGTATATCATCTGCTACAGCCTGTGCAAGCAGGCATTTTTTTTGGCTTGAAGAATGGCATAGGATCTGTGAGTATGACTTTGTTTGCATTTTGGGTAAATAGGCTCCAACCAGAGAAGGAAAAAAAAGCGTCTAGAATTTCTATTTCAGGTGCTTTGCATTTCTTCTAGATCAACTTTCCTAGTAGAAAAGTACTCTAAAAATATAGAGGGTGTTCTTTTTCTCCAAAAGAAATCCATGGTGTTGGCTGGGGTTTCTCATAGAAGATTTTTCTTACTCAGACCAAATTAGCCATTATCTAGGTCTGAAAAGGCCCTAGCCACTGTGTCTACATTAAATAATTACGTATTCATTTGCAGTTGTCTTAGAACCTGTTGTAGCTTATATCCTAACATTTCCTCTGAGCTCTGAATAGAGACAGTAAGAGAGCCTTCCAGAAGGTGATTCAAGGTGAGAACTTCCTTCTCTACAGTTCATATTTGAGGGAACCTATATGGACCATTTCTAACTTGGGAACCTGTCAGTGCTTGGGGCAAGGGAGGTTAACTGTGATTACACATAATTCATATGTGGGTACAAATCAAGTCTGTAATATTCTACATAGTTTCTAAGATTCAGTTGGAATTTTGAGGTCTGTCAGAATGTCTCACAGTACCGATATTGTTAACATGTGAAGTAAATTGCACCCTATGTATTTTGCACCAGGAACATATGCAGGCAGTGTTGCATTCTCCATATTCTGCTTTTACAGTGCATCCAATCACAAATTTTAAGTCACATGCCTCACCTATGACAGCCCCTTTGCAATAATGGGCAGATGCCTCTTTTTTTTTTTTTTTTTTTTTTTTTTTTTTTTTTTTTTTTTTTTTTTTTTTTTTTTTTTGTAGTGGCTTGTACACACAGCAGCAAGTAGCAGCCGTACCTTTGATACAGGAATCTGAGAAATGATCTAAGATGATTCTGACTTCTCCCCTCCATCTCTGGCCTTCAAGTGCAGGGGGTGTGTGTGCCAGACAGCATGAGGAGGGTATGGCCATCCCATTGCAAATTCAAATGTGTCCCTCCGTATGTGCTGTGAAGGGGCCCAGACTCAGGAGCATTCAGCTCAATAACAGTCTCTTCCTTTGTACTTAGATTTTTGTTCCTTCATCAATAACTAGTCTTACCTTTTACATATTTTAAGATGTGTTGGTAATAGTTTGGGCTTTGGCCTGTCCTGTAGATTTGTACTGATGTGCAAATTATAAACCGAAGTTGAAGATTTCTCTCTTTACAGACTTAATTCAGTACTGTAGCTGCATTTGTTTCCTTATTAAAACAATTGTTTTCCTAAACTTTTGTGGAATTCTAATGAGGAAAATGTGCTGAGAGCATTCACACTGAATTTACATATGGAAAAGTGTGAATTAACAGAGGGCTGGTGATTTCAGCCTTCTAGAGTCTGCCATAATTTTTTTCTTTTCCAGGCATCTAAGGTTGATTCCTAATAGAAACTTACTCAGTGGGGAAGGGAGATGGAAATTAGTGCATCTTTGAGCCGTGTCCATTGAGGCATTGCTGGGAGGTACTGCCGTCCTTAAGAACTCAGAAGAGCTGCTGGATCCATCATGTAGGCCTGGCTTTCTGCAGCGTTGAAAATCTAGTTCTCAGTGTTTATCAAAATTCAGGATTTCTAGCTGACAGGCTGTCCCACTGCATTCCCTGGTGAGTCATGCTTCTTCTGCTAGTTCTGCTCTGAAGAGGTTCTAGACTGCTTTACCGCCCATGTGTTCAGCTATACCAGGTGGAGGG